TATTTTTCACTTGTGAGCTGGGGGGAGGCGTACAGAGTGGATCGGTTTTCCATTCCCCAATCCGAACACATCTTGTTTCTTGTCATTGGTTGTAATCCCCACAGTAAACAGCCCTCATCCCACTTCATCCCTGTGGAAGGAAGCCCCCTTGGAGCTGCAGGAGAGCTACAAGGGCCGCCCAGTGTCCCCATCACCCTGCCGAGACCAGCCATGTGCTTGATGCTCTCTGAGAGGGGGGTGTCTCTCCCGTCCCTCCCTCCCTTAGTCTGTGAGTCGCCAGGGCAGGGGTCAGCAAGCAGTGTGGACAAGAGGAGCTGGCTCCAGGAGGTGCCGTCTGGAAGTGTTGGGGGGACTGGTTGAGGCAGGAAGAAGAGGATGTTTAAGTGGAAGGCATCAGGCCCAGAGCACCTGTAGCTGTGCCTCTCCAACGTGAACCGCTGGAGAATGGAGGGCTGTCAGATGGGTGGATGGATATGGAATGGATGGGCAGACAGACAGATGGATGGACAGACACTTGGGCAAACTTGAGCAAACAACTGGGCCGAGGATGACAGCTGACCCAGAGCGGAGGTGGAGCTGATGATGACCTGCGGTGGAGGTGGTGGTCCTGATGCTGACCTGCAGAGTGGCCCAGCTCACTGCCTCTGCCAACAACTGTGCCCATCCCTGAGCCTTCTTTCCTTGGTCCTCCACTGCAGAGAGGGAGGGGGAGAGGCGGGTGTGTTGGGGGGAGAAGAGGAGAGTTCATGGCTTTGTGACTCGCTTGAGAACCTTCAGAGAGGTCGTGCCAGACGGTGAATGCTCAAGTCTTAATCCTTTTGTAACCTGCATATAACTGCAAACTTCCACATCGAGAATGATAACATGGTGTGGATTTAAAGGCATTTGGGGAACGGTAAAATGTCTAGGATTAAAATTTCAGTACCATTTGTGCCCAATAAATGTGGACTTTTTAGTAACCTAAAACCAGGCTATTATGACTCAAGTCTGAAAATTACGGGTCCTGACGGAAGAAATGCAAATACCATGTGGGACCCATCCTTGACTTTGAAGGGTGTAGAGTGGTCGCCCCAGGGAGCAATGGGCACGTGACCTCCTGGCACCATTCTATCCCTGCAGAAGGGAACACTCTTCAGGAGGAAGCTGGTCATCCGTCCCCTCCTCAGGCTTGTAGACAGACTGGTTCCCTTGAACCTTGAACTGGGCTGATTTCTCTGGCTTGGCAAACAAGCCCCCAAGAAAGATCACAGAGTTAAGGCTTTATTGGATGCCATAGCTTTTTTTTTTTTTTTTTTTTGAACATAAGTCGGTCTCATCAGTCTGAACTGACAAATTAATTTTGCCTGTAGAATCACTTACTGAAGCGCGGATAAAAATAAACTCCGTCAGAACAGCGGGGAGGATTGGCGTTGCTTAACGGGTTCATGGGGACTTAAGGAAATGGATTTCGGCTTAAGACACTAAAGCCCCAAGACTTCTAATGGAGAGCTGAGCCTGAAGTAAAGCCGTCATTCATCATTTTAAGAACCCGCTCTTCGGGCATTTCTTTGTTGCTCGTTGAGGAACTGAATTATCGACCCTGATGAGAATAACTCAGCAAAGACTGTTAAGTCTGAAGCGGATGGGGGTGGGGACTTTTTTTTTTCTCTCTTCAAGTTAACAAAATTTTTATGACTCAATGGACAGATAATTCATCAGTTTTAACACTTCTCGTGATTTAATGCATTATCATGTTTCCTTGGGCTTATTCGGCTCCTAAAGCATTTCACTGAGTCATTTCTATAATAAGCTTGTGGTGCTGAATTCTTACCCACCAGAATAATAATAATATAATAATAATAATAATAACTGGACTCTTTTCCTTTTGATCCAGGGCTGAGTGTGGGAAGTAAGTTACCACCTTCTGAGCTGCCGAACCCCAGGAGGGTCCAGGAAGAAGCTTATGAAGTCGCCAGGGTCTCCCTTTGGAACGGAAGCTTCTGGAACCCCGTCAAGGCCGCGGAGTCAAAGGTCAGACTTGTCCTCTTCACGTAAGACTGCTGATGGTTGTCAGCCGCCAGGCTGTGTCCAGACCCGTCCGTTGTTTCCTCTGCACCCGGGTGATGCAGCCTCGGGTCACTGTGCAGCCTCCATCTGCGCTTTCACGAGACACAAAACCAGCCCGTCCTGATCGCCCGCATGCACCGAACATGATTCTCCCCGGAGAAGTGTGGTGACGTTCCCCGGGTCGGCAACTTCTTTATTTCGCGGGAGTGCCGGGTTTTGTTTCCCGTTTTCCCCATAGCTATGTGTGTTGCATTACCATTTTGGTTTTTATCGATCGTTTTCTGGTTTTGTGCACGTTTATAAACTCTTGCGCTTGGTTTTGATGCTGGCTGACGTGGATGCTCGCTTGGCGCCTTGTGACGTCTGAGAACTAGAGAAACAACTGAAGTGGCGATGATGATGTTTTTCTCTTGACCCAGCCAACCAGACTCTCACATTTCAGATCTTGGGGGAACAATTGGGAAGGGATGTTACCCGCTTTGGAAAGCTTGTGCAGGCAGCTTTGTCCTGTGATGTGCAGGATGCGTCGTTGAGTGTTTTTCTGAACTGGGAGCTGAGGTTTTTGAAAGAACACCTGTGGTTGCACAGAGCCCTCTCTCGAGCTTGCTGGGAGGGTTGCAGTCGGTCACCGCCAGGTGAATAATGATCTTAGGATCTCTTCTCATGAATTTAGGCAGGCTTCCTGATTGCAGAGTTTATTGGGGGATTTAAGTGAGAAATGTTCAGGGTGCAGTTGCTCAGTCCGGACACATCACAAAGTTCCTTCTGGTGATGATGTGGTTACCCGGGGCTGCGAACTACAAAGTCAGCCGTTGGAAACCAGCAGTCAGCAGTATAAAGAGTTGTGCGGAAGCAAGCAGGACCATCTGCTGATGGCCGAGTTTATTACCTGTGGGGCCGTGGGTCACTTGCACCATCTTTGTAGAAAACTAGGAGAAGCCATTGTGATTTGATAGATGTCCCAGCTCCCTGGGATTGTACCTTAAACATTAGAGCCATGTGACCGGTAGTTATATGTCTACTGTATTACAAGAACATGTAATGACTGATATCACTTTAGGGAGTAGGGACCAAAGCAGGTTAAGGAAGAGCATTTCTCACAGTAAGGCCATAGGGCTCATCTCAGCACCTGGGTTCTGGAATCGGCACTTGACTTCATAATTCCGGTATGGACCTCTATTTGGCTAGCAACCATGAGACCCTGTATGGAAGAGGGTGCATCCGAGTGTATGATCCAGGTTTATGGGTGTTTCTCAAGGGTGACTACGTGTACCATGGACATCCAGTGCTGGCTCGTGCGTAGGGTTGGTGTGGACCTGCAGCCTGGTTATCAAGCATAGCTGTTAGTTCTCATTTCGACCTGCACAGCAGTCTCTCTCTGATGTAGAGAACAAGCTTCCTCCATCCAAGGTCAGCTTCTGCGGCCCAGCAATCCCTGCTCTTCCTCAGAAGGTGGGCTTCACGTTCTTCTTGCTTGCTCACTCCCCTGAGTGCTTCCCTGCCACCTGGCTTCCTTCTTGAACTGAACATCTACTGTGTGCTGGGAGCTGGGGCTCCGGCCTGTGAAGGTAGATGTGCTTTCTGCTCTGCTCCGGCGGCGGTTCTAGTGAGAGAAGCGCAGCAGCCGAGTACAGATGGTGATGGGTGGGTGTCCTGAAAGAGACAGCAAGCCTTGTGAGGGACTAACCCAGGAGAGAGGGCCCTAGAGCACTCGGTTGCTCTCCGAAATGTCTGTGGTTTGAGTCTCCCTCCCCTCTGTGCGAGGAAGATGGAAGCTATCCATTTCCATAAAGCCTAGCACCGTGGAAACCCTGAGGGCCGGTCTCAAACTCTCACTGTCGTCCATGCCGACTCATAATGACCCTCTCGGACAGGGCAGAACTGCCTAGTGGGTTTCCGGGACTGTGACTATTTTTATAATAGTTGAAAGCCTCTTCTTTCTCCCAGGGAGCGGCTGGTGGTTTCCAACTGCCGACCTTGCAGTTAGGACCAATGCAGAACCCACTAGGCCACCGCGGCTCTGTTTTCTAGGCATCTCTTGAGTCAAAATTTTGGCGCTCCAGCAACAGGGTAGCTTTGGGATATTTCGAAGGTTGACCACGAAAGTCACGTGTTCTGTCTCAAAACCACACTCTACATTTCTGCCTCGGGGGTAGAGTCCCTTGTAGTGGCCACACGGAACTCACGGGCCACCTCCACCATTAAAGAGTTGATGGAGGGATTTAAGAGGCTGCAGTGCAAGTGAGCAATGCTCAGGGAGCGGTTGTTCAGTCCGGACACATTACAAAGTTCTCGCAGGTCTGCTAGTACATGTCCACAGGGAAAAGCATTCTGCTCAAGCTCCGTGGGTCAGCAAGGCCAACTTCCCAATTAAGTGCCCAGAGGCACCCCACTCCATAAGCCAGCCTGCTGCCCCAAGGCACTCGGCTTCACTTGCTCTGTAGCCTGGGAAGTCCCCACTCCACCTCATGTTCCGGCTCTTGGTTCAGCTGCTTCTGGATCCAGGAGGTTCGCTGTGCAGGGATCTCAGGATCCAAATGGCATGTTCTTCTCTTGGCGATCGCTGGCAGTGAGATTCTCCCCTCCTTCTCAGAGGGCTCATTGTATACCCAGCAGAATGGCATGCCCATGAAGCCTGCTCATAATTACTCACGGGCGAATCAATCCTATCAGTGTCTCCTGCACCCTCTTACCCAGATTTACTCACGGGCGAATCAATCCTATCAGTGTCTCCTGCACCCTCTTACCCAGATGCAGGCAGGAAAACATCACTGGTTGGGAGTTAGAGACTTTTCTAGAAGAGCTACATGCAGTAAGGCATTAAGACCAGTGGTTCTCCACCTGGGGGTCGCGACCCCTTTGGGGGTCAAGCGACCCTTTGACAGGGGTTGCCCAATTCATAGTAGCAAAATTACAGTGATGAAGGAGCAACAAAAATAATTTTATGGTTGGGGCAGGGGTTCACCACAACATGAGGAACTGGCCTGGACTCTGTGAAGCGATGGTAAGCTATGACCCTTTCTCACTCCGTTGAAAGGAGCCGGCTCGTGAAGAGCGAGTGTGTCTGAGGTGGCGGAGCGGCCTGGTGTATCAAGGGTGTGAGAAACCAGAGAAACAGACCAACTTGGTAGCAAGTCTGTGGGAGCCAAGGGGATCACAGTTTGCACCGGCTCGGGTTTAGGGGTCACCTAGGAGCTCCTGATTGAAGTGTAGTGGCCGGAAGAAAGCCACACGCATCCTGAAAAGAAGAGCAAGCCTGGTGAGAATAAGCCCTTTTTCTCTGCCTGTTAAGTCCTCTGCTTGTCTGGCTGAACCAAATGATGCCGGGACTCTCCGCTTGTTCTTCCCCGTGCTGTGTGCCGCGTGGGAAACTGTGCAGGGCATTGCTTGTTGGCACGGCCACATCGGGCCTCACAGCACGGGTTCTCCCTGCTGTCCCTCAGAAAGCCAGGACCCAGGAGCTGAGATTTGAGGAGCCTGGGACTTGTTAGGAATGCCACCCACCCAGAGACCTTTGGTGGGGAACAGAGAGAGAGGTGACCTGGAAGCCCATGTCCCCTCTGGTTTCCCTCTGAGCACCTTGTCAAAGTGACCTTCCCGAAACACGGCCATGCTGCTGCGATTGTGTTGGGTGCATCTCATGGCACAGCTGTGATAGCAGATGGAACGCGCAGCTTGGCCTGTGCCCACCGTCATTGCCAAGGACGAACCCCTGTACACCGTCATGGCCACAACCACTGGGCCGGTCTGCCTCACTGGGTGCCTCTGCCAAGCATAGACCTTCTCCAGGGCGTGTTCCCCGCAAAGAGGCACCCAGCCAGCCTCGCTTCCAAGGAGCATTCAGGCCATACTTCTTCCAAGACAAAACCTGGCTTCATCACTGTGCTGCACGAAACCTTGGATAAACCCTCGGGAGTGAATCTCCCATCCTTGGTTGGTACAAAGCCCAGCTCTGGGCTCAACGTAGGCAGACCATCACAGTGTCCCACCTCCAGACCCTCAGATCACACAGGGCTTTACCCTCAGCCTACCCACCAGGGTCCAAGGCAACCATGGGGACTGACAGACAGAACTGATGACATGGCCCACTGGGCTCTGCCCCCCCGGCATGCCGGGCTAGAAGAAGAGCACCCTCAGGGGTTCCGGCCCTCAGTCACACTCGCTGTGAGGTGCCGGCTGTGCTCTGGGCACCATGCTTGGTGTCTGCAGCTGCAGCGCCCTGAGAGACAGCAGGACTGGGAGCTAGAGGTGCTGTGAAGGATGCGTTGTACTGTGGAGGGTGGAGGGTGGAGGGTCAGCTCTGCGGAGGTGACACTCGAGTGATGACTGAAGGACAAGACAGAGGACGGAGCCAGGCGTGCAGAGATCAAGGACAAGCCCCAAGCTGAGGAGGCGGCAGCTGGGAGGCTGGAACTGAGACAGCCGTGGAGGCAGGGGTGTGCAGATGCCGCCAGGCCGTGCTGAGTGGGCCAGGGATCAGAAGATGCCAGAAGGCTTTGAGTCTGGGTGTGAGTGTCTTGTAGCTGAGAGTTCTGACTGCTGCCCATGGTCGGAATGAGGGAGCCAGTAGTGGAGAGGCTGCTGCCTGTCTCCACGGTAGGCAGCGAGGTAGCTCGGGGCCTCCTCCTGCTGGGAGTGGTCCCACTGGGAACATGTGAGGGGCTCTTCCC